TCAAGTGGCTACGGCGCCAGCCACATACACCTAAGGTGGTGGTTTCGAATCCAGCCTGGGCCGCCAAACAATGAAGGATGGCTACAACAACAACCAAAAAATAGCCGGGCATTGTGGCAGGCACCTGTGGTCCCAGCAACTTGGGAGGCTGAGGCAGGAGACTCGCTTGAGCCCAGGAGTTGGAGGTTGCTGTGAGCTGTGGTGCCATGGCATTCTACCCAAGGGGATAGCTTGAGGCTCTGTCTCAAAAAAAAAAAAAAAAAAAAAACTTCATTGCTAAACAAGTGACAATCATCTGAATCTTTAATAAGTCCTAATCCTTTGCTGGTGAAGGGCCTGCCCTTGATACTGATAGCTGCTGACTGGTCACAGTGGGAGTCACTAAAGGTTGTGGTGGCTGTGACAATTTCTTAAAATAAGACAACAATGAAGTTTGCTACATCAGTTGACTCTTCAGTTCATGAAAAAATTTCTTTGTAGCACATGATGCTTTTTGACAGCATTTCATTCACAGCAGAATTTCTTTCAAATTACCTTCAATCCTCTCAAACCCTGCTGCTGTATTATCAACTAAGGTGACATAGTATTCAAACTCTTTTGCTGTCTATTTGACAATGTCCACTTCTTCACCAGAAGTAGATTTGATCTCAAGAAACCACTTTTCTTTTTAGGAGTTCAATCAAGATCTTTTATTTTCAGAGCCTACAAGAGTTGGTTAGCAAAGCCAGCGAAACTGGTGCAGTCTGGAGGGCATCCCACCTCCCTCTTTAGGCATTCAACACAGAATCCCTAAAAAGATCAGAGACCAACTGGGATGTCTCAATGTGTGTGGAGGAAAAGGCATTCTCTCCACATACTTTTTCCAACAAGGTCTCATGACCAAATGTAAATTAAACTCAATAGTCATCTCCAATACCACCGATTCCCTCCCCAACCCCAGAATAGGAAGCCCAAGTTAAAGGGGAGATTGACTCTCACTATAAGAAAAATCTGGCTTCATCTCAATGGAGCAATTATGGCAAGGAGGTTAGCACCATAGAGTGGGAATGAGTAGTAAACACTGGGACTGGCCTGTTTGGAATCCAACAAATCAACCCCAGTTCTTGGGATAAGGTGTTCCTTAAAGATTCTACTTCCATGGGGTTATATAAGGGGGCAACTGGTAATGATTCATCACTCCCTGTCCCTCAAATTAAAACATGATAAACCCTGAAAGTCTTATCTTTAAACTATACCACGCTACCTCATGAGAAACATTTTATATAGTTGTCTCTAAGGCAGGACCCATTCCCTTCTCCCCACCCTTGAGTGGCACATCCAACACTGATTTGATACTCCTTGACTCACAAAATTACTATGTTCAGAAAATTAAAGCTAGACTATGACAGTAATAGAAGATATTAGGTAGACATACCCCTGCCTCATCCTGCAGAACCCACTCATTCCCAACCCCCTAAGCCTGGGGAATCTACACTACAATATTTCAGCACTGACATGGGGGTGGCCTAAGGAAAGCTCCCTGAAGTGCTTTCCTGACTGCAACTCCTAAATTAGCCAACATCACAGGGCACTGGGGTGAGGAAGAACAGGAACCAAACTCCCCAGCAGAACTCAAGAGCCAGAGGTAGGTCTGGGAAGCTTAGCTTATGTCCTATAGCCAAGCCTGAGTCCAATGCCCACTCCTACCTGTACACCTCAGTTCTTGACTTTAAAGACTAGCAACCTCAGTACTATAGCATGCCCTAGGCATGACAGATGGCCTAGCTCTCTGTCTCACTACTTACAACAGGTTTGCCTTTTCTTTTCTTTTTTTCTTCGACTAAAACCTGGCTTAAAGTATGAAGGTTTGCTTGCTATTTCCACTGCACCTGCAATGACTTCTTCAACTGAAATCATGAACCCCTCAAAGACATCCATCAGGGTTGGAAGTAAATCCTTCCAAACTCCTTTCAGTGTTGGTATTTTGTCCTCCCATGAATCCATGAATCATACATATGGTAATAGCATCTAGAATGGTAAATCTTTTCCAGAAAACTTTCAATTTACTTTGCCCAAGTCCATCAGAGGAATGTCTATGGGAGGTATAACCTTATGTTATTTTTTTAAATAAAACTTGAAAGTCATAATGACATCTTGATCCACAGACTGCAAAACTGATACTATGCTCCAAGACATGAAAATAGTAATCTCCTTGTACATCTTGAGTTAGCAGGTGCATTGCAAATGAGCAGTAGTTCTCAACAGCAGGCTCAAACTATTCAGTAAACTATTATTATAAACAGATGTACAATCACCCAGGCAAGTGAGACTTTCTCAAAAAAAAAAAAAAAAAAAAGTCATCAGCTATATAAGCCCCAATAAGAAAGTAAGCTTATCCTTTTAAGCTTTGAAGTTAAGCACTGACTTCTACTCTCTAGGTATGAAAAGTCCTAGAGGCACATTCTTCTAATAAAAGGCTGTTTTGTCTACATTGATAATTGTTGTTTAGTGTAGTTCATTAATCATTTTAAGCTAGATCTTCTAGATAACTTTCTGCTTTACATTTTGTTATGGAGATAGTTTGTTTCATTAAACCTCATAAACCAACCCGTTAACTTCCAACTTTTCTTCTATACTTCCTTACCGCTCTCAGCCATCACAGAGTTGAAGATTTGGGGCCATCCTCGGGATTAAGCTCTTGCATAAAGGAATGTTGTGGCAGGTCTGATCATCCAGACCATTCTAACTTCATTTTGCTTTCTTATCATTCATATGTTTACTGAATAGCACTTCTTTTTTTTTTTAACAGATAGTGTCTTGCTGTCCCCCAGGATGGAGGATAGTGGTGTGATCATGGCTCACTACAAACTCCAACTCCTGTGCTCAAGTGATGCCCCCACCTCAGCCTCTCTAGTGGCCAGGACTATAGGCATGTGCCACCAACCTGGCTAATTTTTTAAAAATAAAGTTGGGGTCTCAATATGTTGCAGGAGTTCTCAAACTCTTGGCCTCAAGCAACCCTCCTGGTGTGGCCTTTCAAAGCGTGGGGATTACAAGTATGAGCCATCATGCTCAGCTTGGAGTAGGACTTTCACTTGAAGATAAGAACTTTTCTATTACACTTTTAAAAACATGGTAAGAGTTTGGCATAAGAGGCCTAATTTTTGGCCAGGCACAGGGGCTCATGTCTGTAATCCTAGCACTCTGGGAGGCTGAAGTGGGTAGACTGCCTGAGCTCAGATGACCAGCCTGAGCCAGAATGAGACCCCTATCCCTACTAAAAATGGAAAAACTGGCTCTGTGCACGTAGCATAGTGGTTACGACACAAGCCAAATACACCAAGGATAAAGCTGGCTGGGACCAGCTAAATGACAATGACAAATGCAACAAAAAATAGTCAGGCATTGTGACAGGCACCTGTTGTAGTCCCAGCTAGTTGGAGGCTGAGGCAAAAGAATCACTTAAGCCCATGAGTTTGAGGTTGCTGTGAGCTGTGATGGCAGCACTCTACACAGGATGACACAGTGAGACTGTCTCAAAAAGATAAATAAGGGGCGGCGGCCGTGGCTCAAAAGGGTAGGGCGCCGGCCCCATATGCTGGCGGGTTTGGGTTCAAAACACAGCCCCAGCCAAAAAAAAAGAAAAAAGGATAAATAAATAAAAATGGAAAAACTAGCCGGGAATTGTTGTGAGCACTATAGTCCCAGCTACTCAGGAGGCTGAGGCAAGAAGATCACCTGAGCCCAAGAGTTTGAGATTGCTTTGAACTATAATGCCACAACACTTTAACCAGGGCAACAGAGTGACACTCTTTGACTTAAAAAAAAAAAAAAAAGAAGCCTAGTTTTTGGCCTATATCCTCTTTCTTTGATATATCTTCCTCAGTATAGTTAATCATTTTTGGCTTTTGATGGAAAGTAAGAGACCTATGACTCTTTCTTTCATTTGAATAGTAAGAGGCAATGGTAGGCTTATTAATTGGCCTAATTTTAATAAGGCTGTGTTTCCAGGAAAAGGGAGACTCAAAGAAAGGAAGAGAGAGGCTCAGCGCCTGTGGCTCAAGCAGCTAAGGCACCAGCCACATACACCTAAGGTGGCGGTTCGAATCCAGCCCTGGCCAGCCAAACAACAATGACAGCTGCAACCAACAAATAGCCAGGCGTTGTGGCGGGTGCCTGTGGTCCCAGCTACTTGGGAGGCTGAGGCAAGAGACTTGCTTGAGCCCAGGAGTTGGAGGTTGCTGTGAGCTACACCACGGCACTCTACCCAGGGAGACAGCTTGAGGCTCTGTCTCCCAAAAAAAAAAAAAAAAAAGAACACACCCAACATTTATCAATTAAGGTCACTATCTTTTAGTCATATCAAAGATTAATGATTGGACATGCACAGTGGCTCATGCCTGTAATCCAGTGGTTCTCAACCTTCCTAATGCCTCCTAATGCTACGGCCCTTTAACACAGTTCCTCAAGTTGTGGTGACCGCCAACCATAAAATTATTTTCACTGCTACTTCATAAATGTAATTTTGCTACTGTTATAAATTGTAATGTAAATATCTGATATGCAGGATATATTTTCATTGTTACAAAGGGGTCATGACCCATAGGTTGAGAACTGCTGCAGTGTAATCTTAGCACTCTGGGAGGTTGAGACAGGAAGATTGCTTGAGTTCAGGTGTTTGAGACCAGCCTGAGCAAGAGAGAGACCCTGCCTCTACTACAAATGGAAAAATTACGTAGGCATCATGGTACACTCTTACAGTCCCAGCTATTTGGGAGGCTGAGGCAGGAGAATTGCATTAGCCCAGGAATTTGAGGATGTAGTGAACTGTAGTGACACTACTGCACTCTACCTAGGGCAAAAGAGCAAGACTTTAACTCAAAAAACAAAACAACAACAACAAAAACCCCAAAAATTAATGATCACGAGGCAGGGGGTGGGGGGTGGCGAGCACCAGGAACGGCGCCTGCGCGGTGGGCGTGATCTGGGCACTTAGGGCAGGATGAACGCTGCTTTCCAAGATGGCGACGGAGGGAGGAGGGAAGGAGATGAACAAGATAAGACCCAATTCACAACCCGGGAAGGTCTGTACAAGCTGCTGCTGCACTCGGAGTACAGCCAGCCCAACCTGGTGCCCTTCAACTCGCAGGGATCCAACCCCGTCTGCGTCTCCTTTGTAAACCTCAACGACCAGTCTGGCAACAGCGACCGCCTCTGCTTCAATGTGGGCCGGGAGCTCTACTTCTGTATCTACAAGGGAGTCCGCAAGGCTGCTGACTTGAGTAAACCAATAGATAAAAGGATATACAAAGGAACACAGCCTACTTGTCATGACTTCAACCACCTAACAGCCACAGCAGAAAGTGTCTCTCTCCTAGTGGGCTTTTCCGCAGGCCAAGTCCAGCTTATAGACCCAATTAAAAAGGAAACTAGCAAACTTTTTAATGAGGAAAGGAGAATGTGACTGAGGGGTAAGGGATTGGAACCATGTAGAGGGCTGTTGGTAAACAAGATCTGGAGGCAGCTGTCTCCGAGGATGGCACAGAATCCCACTTAGAGAACAAGAAAGAACTCTTGTCAGCACTTGTGGAAGGTGGATTGGAATGAAGAAAGAGAGAATGAAGGTAGCAAGACCAGTGAGGAGGCTCTAGTAACTGTCCAGAGACTAATAGACAAGTCACGAGTAACCTGTGTCAAATGGGTTCCGGGTTCGGAAAATTTTTTCCTAGTAGCCCATTCGAGTGGGAACATGTACTTGTATAATGTGGAGCACTCTTGTGGCACCACAGCCCCCCACTACCAGCTTCTAAAGCAGGGAGAAAGTTTTGCCATGCACACTTGCAAGAGCAAATCCACGAGGAACCCTCTCCTTAAATGGATGGTGGGCGAGGGGGCCCTCAACGAGTTTGCTATCTCCCCAGATGGCAAGTTCTTAGCATGTGTAAGCCAGGATAGGTTTCTGCAGGTGTTCAACTTTGACTTAGTGGAGCTGCACGGTACAATGAAAAGCTACTTTGGGGGCTTGCTGTGTGTGTGATGGAGCCCAGATGGCAAGTACATCGTGACAGGTGGTGAGGACGACTTGGTGACAGTCTGGTCCTTTGTAGACTGCCGAGTCATAGCCAGAGGCCATGGGCACAAGTCCTGGGTCAATGTTGTGGCATTTGATCCCTATACCACTAGTGTAGAAGAAAGCGACCCTATGGAGTTTAGTGGCAGTGATGAGGACTTCCAAGACCTTCTTCATTTTGGCAGAGATCGAGCAAAGAGTACACAGTCCAGGCTGTCCAAACGGAACTCCACAGATAGCCGCCCCGTAAGTGTTACATATCGGTTTGGTTCAGTGGGCCAGGATACCCAGCTCTGTTTATGGGACCTTACAGAAGACATTCTTTTCCCTCATCAACCCCTCTCAAGAGCAAGGACACACACAAATGTCATGAATGCCACAAGTCCTCCTGCTGGAAGCAATGGGAACAGTGTCACTACGCCTGGGAATTCTGTGCCCCCTCTCTACCACGGTCCAACAGCCTTCCACATTCAGCAGTCTCAAATGCTGGCAGTAAAAGCAGTGTCATAGATGGGGCCATTGCTTCTGGGGTCAGCAAATTTGCAACACTTTCACTACATGACCGGAAGGAAAGGCACCACGAGAAAGATCACAAGCGAAACCATAGCATGGGACACATTTCTAGCAAGAGCAGTGACAAACTGAATCTAGTTACTAAAACCAAAACGGACCCAGCTAAAACTTTGGGAACACCCCTGTGTCCTCAAATGGAAGACGTTCCCTTGTTAGAGCCGCTGATCTGTAAAAAGATAGCACATGAAAGACTGACTGTATTAATTTTTCTTGAAGACTGTATAGTCACTGCTTGTCAGGAGGGATTTATTTGCACATGGGGAAGGCCTGGTAAAGTGGTAAGTTTTAATCCTTAATGCTGCACCAGATCTAGAACTTGAATAGGTAGTGATTTTTTTTTCTTGTGGGTGGGGTGGGGTGTACAATGAATGTGAATGACACTTCTTACTCTTAATGTAAATCTAAATGCATCAGAGCCATAATTTTGGATACTGCATGCCATGTAATTCTGAATCATTTGATAATTTACCTTAGAGCATTAAAAAAATATAATCAAACTAATTGCCAGCCAAGTCAGTCATCCTCTTGGGAGTATATAGCATCCCAAGGTTAGTGTTCCTGTATTAGATTACTTCAATTTTAGGAAAATCATGACAGTGTGGGGAAACAATTACTTTAAAATGCTAAAATTAAAATTTATGCTTTAACTAGAATATTTCTGCTTAACTACTCAATTAGAATATTGTACACCTGATCAAAGTGTGTGTTCAGTACAGATGGCCATTAATTGTCATTTATAGTCCAATTTTTTTACCTTAATCATAAAATGTTTAGGAATCTATGAAATTTAACTTTAGGAACAAAGCATTTAGCAGGGTTGATTGATATTATTTTTACATTGTTCTGGCAATCCACAGAAAGAGCCTTAATTTTTAAAACCCATTTTAGTTATTTTATGACCATTAAAGTTGTTTAATAAACATCTTTTTTCAAAGAAAAAAAAATTAATGATCACCATAAAAGATTATAATAATGAAAAAGTCTTAAAATATTTTAAGGTCATCATAATGTGACACAGAGACACAAAGTAAGTGCATGCTATTGGAAAAATTGTACTGACAGACTTGCTCAATGAAGGGTTGCCACAAAGCTTCTTTTATAAAAAATATACTGTCTCCCCAAAATAAGACACTGTCTTATGTTTATTTTTTCTCAAGAAGACACACTAGGGCTTATTTTCAGGGAGTATTCCAGTCTTCCTTACTGCTCTGTACCAAAATGCATGGCGCAGTTAAGCTGCATATCCAAGCCCATTACTAGGTCTTATTTTCGGGGTAGGGCTTATATTTAACAAATGCATAGAAATCTTGCTAGGGCTTATTTTTTGGGTAGGTCTTATTTTCAGGGAAACATGGCAGTATTATAAATATAATCTCATTCTTATACTTTTATTTCTTTCTGTTTCTTAAGCTATATTTATTCCTTACCAGGTTTTGGTTTCACCAGCCCCACAGCAAGAATGGTTTCACTAAGTCCATCAAAATAGGCAAGGTCTCCTCTGTCAATAAATGAAAAAAATATGTTACACATATAAAGAAAACAAAGTCTTATCACACAATGGTCTTATTAAATAAAATTCGATACAGGTAAGAGTCAAATATATTGCTATGAACAAGAAAAGAGATACAGAAAATAATGAAAAGACAAACCAGCAAACAAAACTGTCTTAGCTCCAAGACCCAATAACAAAAATCACCCTAAGGCTAAGCATAAACTAGGAAAACAGGAATGCTGTTTCTCATTCCATCTCCCCCAAGTAGGCTATGACATCAACTATTAATTAACATCAGTCTACTGATGGGGCACAGGCATGAGTGTGGAGAGAACAATCTCAGAAGGAGGGGCTCACAGGGAAAGCCTACAGCTGAGGGTAGAACACACATATTGAGGAAAAAATCTCCACTAACCCAACTTACCCCTTAAGTGCAAGGTAATTCCAAAGAAATTTAAAAATCTGTTTTACTCTGAGGGTAACTATAGCAACAACAAAACACAAACTCTGCTCAACTTCCAACATGAAAAAAGTCCCATCTTACCTCACAATAAAGGCTAACCTACTCAACCTTAGCAAAATGCCATTTCTACAAACAAATCTACTTACTACACAGTACCTATTGTCCTACATACAATGTCTGACTTCCAATCAAAAATTATAAGACATAAAAAAATCAAGAAAAAGGCTGGGTACAGTGGCTTACACGTGTAATCCCAGCACTTTGGGAAGGAGGCCAAAGCAGGAGGATTGCTTAAGGCAAAGAGTTTGAGCCCAACCTGAGTTATTGCAAAACCCTGTCACCACAAAAAAAAAAAAAAAAAAATGGGCTTGGCACCCGTAGCTCAGTGGTTAGGGTGCTGGACACATATGCTGAGGCTGGCAGGTTTGAACCTGGCCCAGGTCTGCTAACAATAACAACTGCAACAACAATAACAACAAAAAATAGCCAGGCATTGTGATGGACACCTATAGTCCCAGCAACTTGGGAGACTGAGGCAAGAGAATCACTTAAGCCCAAGAGTTTGAGGTTGCTGTGAGCTGTGACGTCAGGGCACTCTACCGAGGGTGACACAGTAAGACTCTGTCTCAAAAAAAAAAAAAATATGTATATGTATAAAATGATCCATGCATGATGGCATATGCTTGTAGTCTAGTGACTCAAGAAGCTGCAGGAAGATGGCTTTAGCCCAGGATTTTAAGGTTGCAGTGAGTTATGATGATATCATTGCATTCAAGCCTGGGCAACAGAATAGGACCCTGTCTCAAAAAGAAGAAAAAAAGAGCAATGTCGAAAAACAAAGATAGAACTACATTCAGCCATGAGTCCAAACTACTAGCAAGAAATTTTAAATAACTATCAGCTGGCTTGGTGCCTGTGGCTCAAGTGGCTAAGACGCCAGCCACATACACCTAAGGTGGTGGGTTCAAATCCAGCCTGGGCCCACCAAAACAACAATGATGGCTGCAACCAAAAAATAGCCAGGTGTTATGGTGGGTGCCTGTGGTCCCAGCTAC